GTCAGCCTGAAGAACTTCCTTTAGTGTTTCTTGTCATCACAAGGTGGATCTGTCAGCAAAAAATTCTCTGTTTTTGATTGCTAGGAGAGTCTTTATTTCATCTTCATTTTTGAAAGATGGTTATATAGGATATAGGAGTTTGGCTAACAGATTTTTCTTTGAACACTTTGAACATGTGATCCTATTTCCTTCTGGGCTCCACTGCTGCTGGGCTGGAAGTCAGCTGCTATTCTTATTTGAGATTCTTTTAAGTGATGTGTCATTTTTCTCTTGCTGCTTTAAATATTTTCTCCTTGTCTTTTACATTCTCACCATGAGGCATCTGTGTATCTGTTTGTATTTATCCAATTTGAATTTTGTTGAGCTTCCTGGACATGTAGGTTACTGTTTTTCAAAAAATTTGTTAAGTTTACAGCCATTATTTCCTTGCATATTTTTTCTGCTCCTCTCTCTCTCTCCTTTCCTTCTGTACTCCCGTTGTGCATAAGATGGTGTGCTTGAAAGTATTCCACATTTCTTGAAGGGTCTGGTTTTTGTTCTTTAGCTTTTTTTAAATCTGTTATTCTCAGATTACAATCTTGTACAATCTCTATCAATTTATCTTCATGTCTGCCTTTTTGTTCTTCTGTTAGTTCAAATCTGTGGTTGAAACTCTGTTTTTCAACTCCATAACTTTCATTTACTTCTTTTTTATAATTTATCTTTATTGGTATTTTCTATTTGAAGCACCACTATCATCATACCTTCCTTTATTACTTTAATTGTGAGTTTATTTCTGTGAACATGTTTATAATGGCTCTTTAAAGTTTGTTCTGATCAATCTGATATCTCATCTCTCTGACAGACAATTACAGTGGCCTGCTTTTTTGCCCATACTTTCCTGTTTCTTTGCCTGCCTTGTTTTTTTTATGTTGTTGTTGGAAACTGGACATTTTAGGTAATATACCATAGCACCTCTGACTGAGTACTGGTACACCTCCCCCTCCCCCTTCTGGGGCTTATTATTATTATTTGCTTGTTAACTTGTTTAGTGATTGGCTGTATTCTTTTAGTGAAGTTTATTCCTTCATACGCATGCATTCAGCCTTTAATGTTATTCCTTGGGAGACTACAGCTTTCTTATGCTCAATTACCCTGGGATCACAATGGTTTTGGTAGCATTCTCTTCCTCTCTTTTCCTGACCATTCCCAGCTTTTAAACTCCATAAATTCCTAGCTGATTGCTCTATCATTTTTTTTGAAAAATACCCTTAGGGCATAAATTTGTCTACAAACAATACAACCAAATTCTGACTCCTGTGAGGGAATAGTTTCTGAGATCACTGTTTTATTTTTGTTCTGATCCCAGAAAAGCACTTACCAGATGTTGTATCCCCTGGTTCTCTCCTGCAAACTAGCAGACCTATAGTTTATCTTGACTTATCAGTGTCCTCTCAAATCTCAAATGCCTTTTACCACAACCTCCACTATTCCTGAGAGTGCAGAGTCAAGGTTGAACTTCACTCACTGTTGCAAATGACGTCAGTTCCTTTGGGAAGAAATTAGGAGCTATCTGTTTTAAGGCTTGTTTTTCTCCCCAGGCAAAATCTCTGAGTCAGGGCTCTGAAGCTGGACTAAAGACAATGGCAAACTCTCTCACTGTAAAGACAATGGTAAACTCTCACTAAGGAGTGGGGACGGCAACCTTGGGTATTCTCAGCTTGCCTCTCCTGGTAAGGAACCACTGTATTACAACCCAAAGCAAGAGCGATCTGAGCGCCAGTATTCTCAGCATGCATAATCAAGATCCACAAATGGGGGCTCAGAAGAAGGGAGTCCCTACCTCTCAACTGCACTCCCCCAGGACTTAGCCTCAGGAACAGGTGGCTGGGACAGAATGAGAAATGTTGATATTCTACTCCTCTTGGAGGGAAAGCCATCTGTCCAGTTGCTGAGGGGTGGTGGAGAAGAGGAAGCCCTGTGTTCTTAGCTGCAGCAGTCTAGACTGGAACCTCCACCTCCCTGAGTGGGCAAGGGGGAGGAAGGGAGCAGCAGTATTGGTTCAGATACCACAGACTCTCTTGCTTCTTAAGGAATTTTCAGATGTTCTTGAATAAATGTTTCTTCATTTGCTATTTGCCCATAAGACCATTTCCAGAGACTTTAAATGGCTTTTGGTTTGTTTTTATACATAGTTTTCATCAGTTTCACCGGAAAGTGGGCAAGCAGAGCTCTTCACACCTTCACTCTGGAAACTGATCTCCCATTTGTTCTTTAACATGAAGGTAAAAGGAAGCATTGTGCTAGGGCTCTACACATGCAATCTCATTTCATCTTCACAACTATGAGGCAAATATTGTACATCTTATATTTCACAGATCTTGAAACTGGGTCCTAGAATCATTTAGTAACTCTTGATCCGAGTAAAGGAGCAAATAGGTGAGAGATTTGATTCAAACTAGGTCTAACTACCACCAAAGCCCACATTCTTTACTAAGCCCCTCTTTTTATCTTTTACACGGATTCTTTTAAAAATCAGAGCTCAGGAAATGGTCCTATCCCTGTGCAGCCTCAATGATTTCTTTAGGTAATACACCGTTTTCTTCCTCATCTGGATAATTTGTAACAATAGTAATAATAATATTAATAATATATTTTATATTATTGTACAACTATGTATCATAAAACATGTTATAATATATATTTATATATTTCTTTTTTTATATAATATTATCAAAAATACTATTCTGTTTGTTCATCCCTTGAGCTACATTCCCACAAACAGTCTATGACCAAGGGATTATTATCTTTCCTGTACTTTTACATTTTAAAATCTGCTTTCCTAAAGAACAAGTTAGATCTGATGTGCCAAGTGATTGGTTCCTTAATTATTATTATGGACTGTCTTCTCCCCAGATTACCATTACTTCTCCACCAATAAATGTCTATGATAAAACTGTCAACAGGTAGCTCAAGGACTTGGGACTTGTTTTGCTTTTTTATAGAATAAAACTTGTAAAAAGATGTCCAGGTAATAAAAGTTGTCCCATTTGCTTTTCTGTACATTTGTAATCTGAATTCAGGCAGTACCATCATAACACATGCCTAGCATGTCAAGCCATAGTGCACTCTTCCATTAACATGACTGCTATTTTTCTCTCTCCAAACACTCCCTATCATGCTTCTATTTCTATTTTCTAGTTCATGGACTTCCATATTACCACACCCTCCAGAAATACCCCAAAGCTAATCACACTGCCAACTGCACTAGTGCTCTTACCTATACAGAGATTTATAGTTTTGGTTCTCATTTTCAAAGTAATGTGTTGCTCTGCATGTCGTCTTCCACTACATTTCTTCATGGAGAGGAAAACCAGTGTCCTAAGAGAGTCAGCATCTCCAAGGCACGTGACTGGCATATAATTATCAAGCACAGTAAAAGCCTACTATGTCTTCTCGACATTCAATGCTATTCTAAAAACCTTTTAATGCTTTCCTTTCTTTGAAATAAATAGCCCCTTGAACACTATATTCTGATTATATATTGCACTGTATCACATTAGCTTTAGCATAAAATAAGCACATATGCAAAGCCAATTAAAGATGAAATCAAGAAATGATGACACCTCCTTTAAAAAAGACTAGTACTTTGGGGCCGGCCCGGTGGCGCACTGCTACAGTGCGCCACTTGGGAAGCGCGGCGGCGCTCCCGCCGAGG